TTTTCTTTTTCCTTCTCTCTCTCTCTCTCTCTTTCTATGTTTTTTTTTTTTTGCAAAATATTAGGCTTTAAATATTTTGATCAATTTATTGACCACATCATTCTTACTAACAATCATCAGTTGGTTACATTTGAGTTTGTTTGTAAAAATTGCGAAATGTAATTTTATCATTGTTAAAGAAATATGAATCCAAAAGAATTTCAGGTTAATAGGAATTTCAAGTGATTAACCAAAGCTGTGATGTTAGAAAGTTCCATATCAGAATCAGATTCGATTAATGGAAAATGTATCTTGGTAACAGATACCGAAACAGATACTGATGAAAACTTCGTGACACCATTATCACGATCACTTGCTTCATTGATGCCACACAACACCCAGAACATGTAATTTTTTTTTTTTATGAATATTCACGAATGATTATTGTTGAAATTTATCAAACTCAAGCAATAAAGCGTTAGTTCTTTTGGAATATTAAAAATTGGAAGGATAATAGTGGAAGTGATCAGACATTACTGATAACTGAATGATAATTTGATCTGAATGATTATCATTCATTCAGCCTTTTTGATGATAGTATGAAGGTGATAGTATGTTTGTTACAATTCCCCTTTTCCGGTATATTTCCCCGGGTATGTTTAATTCCATAAAATAATTTCATTTTAGTTTTAGATTCAAATTATATGCTTATTGAAAAATGTTTAAAAGTCTTAACTTTAGATTCTTTTTCTTATCTTTGTTAAAATTCTTCCCAAAATAGCTATCAGATCTGTTCATAATGGTAGTAATTTTAGGCCTTAAAGCATCCTTCTATACAATCTTCTTTTGTCATTAAAATTCGTATAATTTTTAGATAAAATTTCCAAAATTTTTGTCATTATTTTAAATGAAAATTTTTTGGATGGATGCTTGACAGACGAAAAATGTCCTGTCCCATTCTATGTCACCGGGAAATGTTATTGATTTTTATGCTTATGTATGTATTTGTGTCCCTTCAAAATAGCCTGCACTTAAAAACCATTTGTATTCTCTTGAAGACCTATTCTCTTCAAAAATAAAAGAGGAAAAAAGAAATGACTAGCAATATTCGTAAAATACCTCTGCTTATAAGAAACTAAACGCCTTTAGGGGAAAAGGTCAAAAGTTCGCATATTTGATGCTATCATTTCCATACCTCACGATAGGGTCAGATCAGGTGACAATTTATTCAAAAAGAAATATGCAATTTGCTTTTTGCTTTTTCATCCGTAAAAACTTAGTAAACACTAAGCTAACAAAGCTAGATTTACTAATTAGTCCGCTTCTTTGATTTTATCCTTTGATAACTTCATTTGTCAGATTTAATTCTTGCTATTTTCAAGTTTTAATGGGTATTTAATTCGCAAAATTTTCAGTTGCGATCATGATCGCTATTTTAGTCGTTATAAATGACGCTGTAAAGGTGACAATGAAAATTTCATAAAGACAATGATATGTGCCAGCTGATAATATTTGTAAAATGATGAAATAAGAATGAAGAATTAATCATTCACTGAATAACAATGCATAGTGCAACAATCTTTTTAACCTTTAACCCGCAAATAAATTGAATTGCTTACTTTTTTCTTTTTATATTAACATTTTAATTGATAACTTCCAAATACATCCGCAGATGTCTGATTTTTGTATTCATCAAGAAGTGACAAATATCTCTTTTCCCGCTTTGTGACAAATATCTCTTTTCCCGCTTTTGCGAGAAAAAAAAAAGCTAACAAACTAATCGCAATGATTCTTCTCGAAAATTACAACTGTTTGATGCATGAAAACACATATGAACTTTCTACCCCGCAGATAATTTTTGTCTTTCTCATTTCACAATTCAAGATAAGACAAGTTTTTCACGTACGTGAGATACGTTTTTCACTTGCCTTACTATATCAGACTTATTAGTTGAAGTTAATACAAAAATTACACACTATGAATCTCTGAACTTTAAGGATGGATTTCTTAAAAAAACAAAAAGAAATGGAATATAGTCCCGAGGAAAAGCAAAATCTCAGGTAAAATTCCAGTTGAATTTCACTGTCCAAACACAAAAGCAGACATTCTGGCTAACTTTGTCATTTAATAAGTAAGTAGATCTATCGGAAGGTAATATTTTCTTATGGCCTACGCCGGAGTTATTTCCCCCGAACTACAGTTCTATTTAAAATT